TTGAATAAGAAGTCCCCGCTTGCACGGGACTGAAACATATCAACAGTAAGAAGTACTTCTTGCAACTAAAATTTAACGTCAGGCTTGAGTTAGCCACACAATGTCTAATTACGATCTAGGTTCACGTTCGTGACACCTAGTTACTGTCGGAGTGCTCGCTCGTGGAGATCCAATGATCCTTCTTCAAGTGCCACTTCAGTCGTCGAACACTCTTATATAGAGCTCGGCGCTCTAAGCTTCATGTGTCTCTATCGCGATTCAGCTCGCCCCAAGCTATTGATTGATTCTTGACGATCTCATCAAGCATCTCTTTTTCATCCGCTTGATTGCCCTTTATTTGAGCTAGCTCCTGTTGAAGCCTTTTGATCTCTGCTCCTCTGTCGAGGTGCATCTTCGATCTAGGCGATGATGGCTTAGACATGGAGAGGAAAAAGAAGATGAAGATGAAGGCCGTGAGAATGGAAGAGGATGACTACTATTTATAACCTCTTTTAAAATCCTAACTCTCAAGAAAATCACATCTTATTAAGATTTGATTGGACCGGATAAAGAGACTAAGTCTTAGCCTAAAACTCGGTCAAATCCACAGCGGATCTTGTGAGACTTTCAATCAAGAGATTTCGTCCGCAAATCATGATGCAAATCCAGAGGTGAATCTCAACAAACTTCGCCAACCAGCGAACGTTGCCAACTGACGAGCTTTGCCAACATGGTCAAAGCAAATTGAGTCTTGCCAGCTAGCGAATGTCGTCAATCAACAAACTTTACCCAGCAGCCCAAAATTGAGCGACCTTCGCTCGTACCAAGAATCAGTGGAACTTCGCTAATTTGCCAACATTGTCTCATCAGCAGAAAAAGATAAACTTCGTCCAAACATGGATTTGGAAAAGTACAATCATCATCCACCCTTCGATACAAGTTTACAACCAAGAAAGGTATGTTCAAACAGTACACCTCTGACGATTAAGTGGGCGAATGAAGACAAGTTTCAATCCAAACAAGACAACTCAAGCTACATTCAACATTACACATCTGGCCATTTACCCAAAATATTTTAATCTAGCTACAAATTGAAATGCAGGATCTTGAAAACTTTGGGCGGTCTTGTAGACGGTCAAAATATATTTTTATTTAGACCGATGATCAGCTTGGATCTAAGAAGTGAATGTCCATGTGCTAAACACTTTAAATGGGTCCAAAATTAAGCACACAATAAGCTGCAGCGAAGGTCACCTGACAACAAGAGCGAACCTCACCAAACAGTTCATTAATTGGTTGAGTCTAGAGTCGAACTCTGTGTCAAATTCAAACTCATCGGAGAAGTTCGCCAGCCAGTGAACTCCACCCACGTCAACTTAAGTGGACCAAGTCATCCACTTCCGAAGAAGACTCGCCCATGTCCATAGCGACCCTCACCCACGTCTTTAGTGAATTTCACTAAGCTCGCGAAGTTCGCCAAATAGCCGTTTTGAGAGCTATTTTCAAAGGGAATAATCGCTCCCCATTATCTCCTACTTAATGGCTACTTAATTCACAATTAAAGACCATTAACTCTCTCTTTTAGCCTATAAACGTAGAGGAAATCATCCATTTCACAAGTTCGGAAGCCTTAGCTAAGAATACACATGCGTAAAGAGATTGTAGTCGCACTTGTGATTTGTTTGAGAGAAGCTGCTGAGAGAAGTTTGAGTTATCTTCCAAGCAATCCACCTCTTATAAACAACAAAAGACCCGTTGTCTTAGTCAGTACGTCAACGGAGTATAAGATCGACGCTCCATCGGTACATTAAAAAGAACCCTCCCCGGGAAATATAAAATTTTCTTTTGTTTCACTTTTATTTGTTTTATTGTAATCTGAGTTAATTACAATATTAAAATGAACCGAAACACCATCAAACCAAAGAGACATGACGTAATTATTGAAATCGTAGATCACTTGCCAATTGTTATATTTGATTATGAAGTTTAAGAATGATGCACTAATAGTTAGCTCGTATTTTATGTATCTTTTCTTCCGCCTGTGAATGTCTGCGTCTGCTTTTATCCTACTTGGAAGATGATGATAAAGTTAATGCAAAAGTTTTTGCTTTTAATAAAGTGGAGCTTCCAACGCCTGCTCTCATTTTTTTAGTTTTCCAAACAGTGTAAAAAATATTTTGTCCTTTCAATATCGATATCAACTATGTTGTGCTGAGCTCGTAATAAGAAAGACTGATTTGACATTATCCCTTATACCCCTTGACTGCCTAGATTTTAAATGTTCCTCTTCCTCCATCAATATTCATTTTACATTTTTCTCGCGTAAGTTACAAAAGAAAATCCCTTATGGTTTGCATGATTGACAAAAGATTCCCTGAGATTTTAAAAGTGATACTTGTGGTGTAGTAAATTAGGTCGTGCTAAACTAGGCCATTCCATCTCAAAGACTACCTATTTAAACTTCCCTTCTCACCAATTGCAACTTTTACATATTCTAAATTTCAAAATTTAAGATTTCAATCAACTGAAGCAATTCAGAACAGGCTGTTGTGGCGAATCTAGCCAGTAACAACCTCATGGTTATACTCGACAATCAGATAACAAAGCCAGGCTGGTGCTGCAGCAAACTTGATGGCAATGGTTTCTTTGGAGATAGATACTTTGATCCTGATGAATGGCTAAAGGGGCTAACTCTGATGGCAACACTGTTCAACACATTGCCTAATGTGATCGGAATGAGCCTCAGGAATGAGCTACGAGGGCCTAATCAGAATGTTAGTGAATGGTACAGGTAAAAGTTTTTAGGATTTTTACCTATATACCTCCAGGTCTATCTTATTTGCAGATTTCCATGAAATCCTAATATTTGGTAATTTATTCCTACATTGTTTGAGATTGAGTTACGATACCTCTCTCCTTTAACATTGTTAAATTTCAAACTGAGAAGAGGTATAATGAATAAAATACCTTTCTCTTCCTAACAAAATAAAGTTTTTTTGGCACATATATCCTCTCGGTCTACCATATTTGCATATTTATCCCCAAATCCAGATATTTGCTATAATTTACCTTCGTGAATTTTAGTGGTCTGAAATGAGAGGGGTACGAGAAAAAGTTCAATCTGAGAATTTGCTGGGTAGATTAGCCAATTTGTAGATCTGAGGGGTAAATTTGCAAATAGAATGTTTAGGGGGTGTACAGACAGGAACCCAAAATTTTATTACCAACAAAAGATCAAAGTAGTCGAAAGTTCGTACTTGGAAGTTTTTCATCTGTTCATATATGTCAATATAGGTACATGCAAAAAGGGGCTGAGGCTGTGCACGGAGCAAACCCAAATGTGCTTGTTATACTTTCAGGTTTAGACTACGACAAAGATCTCAGCTTCCTCTTAAAAAACCAGGTTCATCTAACATTTACACAGAAACTTGTCTTTGAGCTACACTGGTACGGGTTCTCTGATGGCGGTGACTGGGAGAATGGAAATATTAATGAGGTATGTGCAAGTGTAGTTCACAATTTCACAAGGAAAGGAGGTTTTCTGCTCGATCTAGGTTGGCCTTTGTTTCTATCAGAGTTTGGACTTGATATAAAGGGAGCAGATGTTGCTGGTAATAGATTTATGAGCTGCGTTGCAAGTGTAGCAGCTGAATTGGATTTGGATTGGGCTATATGGGCACTTCAAGGGAGCTACTATATTCGACAGGGGCAACTCGGTATGGATGAGACTTATGGTGTGCTAAGCTGGGACTGGTGTAAGCCTAGGAACCCAAAATTTCTGCAGAGGATTTCAGCTTTACAATCTACCTTCCAAGGTATACAAATCGAGTAAAATTTAGGGTTAAGTTCAGAAAGCCCCTTAAGTTTGGCCGTTTTCTAAGGTAACCTTCTAAAGTTTAGAAATGTTACTTAATCCCCTTTAAGTTTAGACAGATAAGGCCCCAACTAACACCGTTAGCTCTGACTGTGCATGTGAAATCACATGCGTCCAAATGACATTTTTGAATATGCTTGGCAGGTTTCCTAAAACACTCAACTGAAGGCGGGTTAAGTGACATTTTTAAAGTTTAGATGGGTTATCTCAAAATCAGCCAAACTTAAAAGGGGTTTTGTTAAATTTTACCCTAAAATTTATTGCTCATGTGTTTCATTATATCCGTTTACCATCTTATTTTGTTATGATTTAGGTCCTGGACTCTCAAATATCGAGCCATACGATATAATCTTCCATCCGC